AGGTAAAGGGAAGGAAAGAAAAAAAATCCCAATCTTGAAAAAGCAAATTAGAAGCCTGAGATCACGTCTGAAGTCTAGACCAGGTTATTATGGTAATTAGTTTCTTGCACTGAATTAGTCTTCTTTGGGAAAGCAGCAGCATTGAAGCTTAAAGTCATCTCCAGCCATTTTGATGAGAAATCTGGATGTTAACTGCTGTGCTTGTGTGCTGAGCCTGCCTGCCCAGGTCCTGCAGGATGGAGGGGATGCTGAGGGTAGTGCTGGGGTGGGCAGGGGTTTCTCAGACCCCAGGGCAAAGCTCTTGACCCTCTTAGTGGGATGTCAAAGCTCCATTCAAAACCTGCAGGACCTCTCTGTTAAAGCAGGCCTGCTCTCCATAGGGTTGAGAAGATGCATTTGGCTCATACTAAGCTGAGGGGAAAGCTGTGACATTACTCGGGTGTGGCAGGCACTTCTGGGCAGTAGAAACCCCTTCTTGGCCCCAAGAAGCCCACTCAGGGTATCCCTGACCCGAGATATCCTGTCCTTGCTCTCCAGTCTGTGCTGTGCTCTCCACTCTGCACCATCCCAAAGCTCTCACCTCTGCTGTTCCAAAAAGCAGGAAGGAGTCATTGTGGTTTTTTCAGTCTTTCATTTCCTTCTCCTCATTTCCTGGTCTCTGGGCCTTGCTGTGTGCTGAGCTCTGGGGATATAAACGTCTGATAAAAATCAGGCTCCAGATCTTTGGTGTTCATGTGGGAGTGTCTGTCATGACTCACAGCCTGTCCATCTCCACCAGACCCTGTATTCTCAGCTCCCAAAGGCATTTTTCCTTTCAACCTTCATGTTTTTTATCTCCTGTCTCTGCAGATGGGCATGCTGGGGACTTGGTCTTTCAGGAGGCTCCTAGCCCCTCTGCAGGACACCCCTTTGCCCTGCTGCCAGGTGCCAGGATAAGCCCTTCTGCTACTAAAATGCAGCAAAAAACCTGCATAAATGGAGCATTTCAGGTTGAGACAAGGCTATATGAGACTCTCTTTTTACAAGGTGTCACATGGACAAGACAAGGGGTAATGGGTACAAGTTATTCCTGGGGAGATTCCTATTTGACTCCAGAAGATAATTTTTCACCATGAGAACAGTCAGACATTGGAATAGTCCCCTAAGGGAAGTGATGGATTCCCCTACATTGGACAGTTTTAAGACAGCTTGACAGGATGCTGAGCCATCTCTTTTAAACTATATTATTACCTGGAAAGTCTGGACCAGCTGGTCCTTGAGGTCCCTTCCAACCTGGCATCCTATGATTCTCTATGTTTCTGATGTAAAGTGATCTGCCTCTGTAAGGGATTCCTACCTCCCCTTGGCTCTTCAGCTCATGGAGAAGAGTCAGAGAGGGTCTATAGGTATCATGCTGGGGAAGGGGAGCATCAATCTGCCAGGGTTGGGGATGGCATCTTCCTTAGGCTGTGCAAAGGTGTCTCTTCTAATAGACTTTGCACACTCACCCTCCTACTGTGCACGGGTTGCACCTCCAGGCTTTGTGTGAAGCTCCCTCAGCTCCATGCCAGTGTTGGTTGCTGCTGCTCTCACCCCTTCTGACAGCAGCCTGGGGACTTCTGGAGTCCTCTGCTCCATCTGTGAACTTCTCTTCTGGTTCCTGAGCGTTGCTGGTGCCATGCAGACATGGGAAACACTGGGAAGGGATGTCCCCTGAGTGCTTGTTCTGTGGTTGTGTCCAGGATGTGGAGGGCTCCACGTGTCTGCACTTGGCTGCCAAGAAGGGGCACTACGACGTTGTCCAGTACCTGCTCTCCAATGGGAAGATGGATGTCAACTGCCAGGTGAGGCCTTCCTGCCAGGGACAGGAGCTGCTTTTCTCAGGTCAGGCACCCAAATTTCAGCAATGTGCTGTCTGTGTAGTGGTTACTCAGGCACAGTCCTGCTGGAGGAGGGGACCTCAGAAACATTAGAGGGTGACCGTGCCATGGGCATCCTGATCTGCTGGAGAAGGGGATCCCCTCCACAGACCTCATGGAACCTTCTCTTCCTGGTGCCTCAATTTGCAGTTTCTCCTTGGCCCTGAAGCTATGGGTGGAACCTGTTTCCCAAGGGTCTCTTCTTGCAGGGGGGTGGGATCATGGTGATCTGGGTGGTGGCTCAAGCCTGACCCACCATCCTAGAACTTACCCATTGCCATGGGATGAGGCAGCACTGCATCAGGACTCTTCATTCTGGGGGAAGGCCAGTTCCCCTGGGCTGCTGAGGGAGCTTTTGGAAGAGCTTTTTGCACACGATGGATGTGCCTTTTGGACAGTCAGCTGTCTGTGAATGCCCTGGAGACCCATTGCCAGTGTGCTGAGCTGCAGAGAAACTCCAGCCTGCTAAGGCGGGGTGGTTCCAGTCACACTGGGCTCTGCAGGACCCTGAGGGACCTCTCCCTGCAGCAGTGTAGACTGAAGGAGATCAATGACATGTTCTCTGTGGCTCCCAGGCATAGGTGCACCCTGCTGTGACTGCCCAGAGGTTTGTGAAGCCAGCAGGAGACCATCCTGGCCCTTGTTCCTGTCTCACCCTCTCCTTTCCCTCCCCAGGATGATGGAGGCTGGACGCCAATGATCTGGGCCACTGAGTACAAGCACGTCGAGCTGGTGAAGCTGCTGCTTGCAAAGGGGTCAGACATCAACATCCGTGACAATGTGAGCTTCTTCCTGAGATATGTTTTGGAAATAATCCACAATTTCTCTTTGAAAACCAAACCAACCCAAGAAGGCAGGTTTTTAGGCTGAGTGCAGGGAGGTGATGGTCCCTTGACACAGGTGGTTGGGAGCTGTGAGTGAACAGTGTCTGGTGGGGGAATTCTCCTCCATATTCTGGGAAGAAGTTTACAAGCTGGCAAGAAATCCTTTTCCTCCAGCTCTTCTGACATAGCCTGTGAAGATGCTGTACAAAATGCTGCAGGCTGTGGTCAGCTCTGGGCCTCACTGCTCTTATCCAGCTGGGGCTGCTCTGCTGTCACTTGGGCACGGGGCAGGTCCCCCTGGAGTCCAGACTTAGCAGCTCTGCATTGGCCAGTTTGTGCTGGGCAGGGGTTGGGGTTATGGGTGTCCTCTGTGCCTCTTGGGGGACACAAGCTCCTACATGTTTTCCAGATGGATTGGGCAGACACTTTGCCATCAAGTATCACCAGCCTGGCTTTTCCGAGGCATAGCAGGCACGTAGCCACCAGCATGGACAGAGTGTGCCCCAGCTCAGTGTGCTGGAGCTGGCTCTTGGCCTGCTCTTCACCTCCATAAATTCTGCTCAGGTGGGGCATACTCTGTACTTGAGGGAGTTGGACTCCAGGTGGAATTCCTGGGAGCTCTGGGAGCCCAGAGCACTGCATCTCAGGCTGAGCCTGCTGATTTCACTGGGATTTTCAAGTAAACAGAGAAGACTGGGAAGAAAAGGAGAACATGCAGGCTTCTGTTCAGGAGACTCATCATACCAGCACTGCTCCTCTTGTTTTTTTCTTAATAGTGTCTTGATCTTTCTTTTCTGTCTCTAAGGATATTGAAACCCCAGCAGTACCTGCAGGGCAAACCTGGGTGTGAACTGGGATGCTTTGGCTTGTAGATATGAGATAGTTTGATAAAGGAAGGGTAACTGGCTGCATCTGCACAGAACCATTACAGCAAAGTTCCACCATCAGCTCACCCTCTGGTGTACCTCATGGCCATGGATTTTCTTGTCCAGTGCTGCTAGTGCTTTTCTGACCCAAAGGGATATAAGCAGCTGCGTGACATTTGTCTCCCTAAATGCCTCATTCTGTGCTGTGGGTGCTAGCAGAGGTGGGTGTGGGCCTGCTTGTCTTGGGCTCCAGCTGCTCCAGAGGAGTCTGAAAGCCTCTTTTTGGGTGGAAACTTTGTTTCTTTGGCAGCTGAGCTAGTTCCCAGGGAGGTCTGGGCCTTGTGCTGTTCCTAAAAGCAGACGTCAGGGCAAGAGAGGTGGCTCTTTGAGTTGCTGCATCACCTCAGAGCCCCAGCACTGGCTTTGAACAAACCTGACCTGTTTGATCTGCCCTAGAAGGCTTTGGCTACAAGCTCACACAGTAGATGATGAAAATCAAATCAGCTCAGTCAACAATTTACTTGGAAAAAAAAAAGTACCCTCTGTCACATATCCATTAGTGCCCTGACATGCCATGTCTCCTGATTGCAGTCATCAAGCAGCAGTGTCACCTGTGCTGGGAAACATCACACTCCAGGAGAAGTGATGATTATGCTGCTGTTAGGCATGTTAGTCCATGCAAGGCAAAGGAGCAAGCCCAGGTGTCTGTAACCTGTCTGAGCAGCAGCACATGATGTGCAATCAACAGGATTAATTTTTCCTGGAGATTGGGACATGATGCTGATTAGGGTGGGTTGATATTTTTTCTAGAAGTTACCATAGTGGGAAGCAGAAGCTGTTTACAGAGGGCTCCCCTCTCCTTGTTATTTGGCAATAGCCTCTCCATTTAAGGAAGTTAAGTTGTGATGACTAAAAAATGTGCTTTATTTTTGCTTTCAAAAAAAAAAGAAGAGGTAAAATGTAGGTGCTCATCACTATTGTTGCACTGTTGTAATCGATGTCTCCAGAGCTTGCCACGGGGAAGGGCTGGAAGTGTGCTGCAAATTGCCCTGTAACAGAAAGCAGAGTATCATCTCTCAAAATATCTCCATCAAAAAGATGAGTGTTCAGCTATTTCTAGTGCTGCTAGTGAGAGATGAGTACATACAGTATTTAAGAGATGCCTCAAGTCAGATTGATTGCTTTCCCTGGGACTCGTGGTTTGCCTTCTAGCACCTTCAGACACCCCATAGCTTGTGCTGTGCTCTTTTTCCTCTTCAGTTTTGCAGCACTGAGGGACCTGCTAGCTTTGCTGTCAGTCTAGGCTGGAGAAGTTCAACTTCTAGCCTTTTCCAGCATGTTTGTTCATATCTGTCACCTCTCTGGTGGATTGATCCAGATTGCTTTGTGGCTCAGAGGCAGCCGATGTGCCTTCCTGTCTGAGGAAGAGGAGGGATAGCTTTGTGTGCAGTCTGCCTGTCCCTGGCATGCGGGCAGCTGACTGAGACCTCCCTACTTGTCTGCACAGAGATTTCCCTGCCCACCTACCCCAGCAGCCCCAGCCAGAAGAAGCAACACAGGGAAGGAGGCTGCCAGCCACATGTTGAGAGCTGCAGGTGTAGAGCAAAAGGTGGTGAAATCCCAAAGCGATACAGTTTTAATGGACTAAACAGCCTCTACTCTGTTTTCTTTCCCTCCAGGAGGAAAATATCTGCTTGCACTGGGCTGCTTTTTCTGGCTGTGTTGACATAGCAGAGATACTGCTGGCTGCTAAGTGTGATTTACATGCAGTGAATATTCACGGGGACTCCCCCCTGCACATTGCAGCCCGAGAGAACCGCTACGAGTGTGTGGTGTAAGTACAGCCCCAGTCCTGCCCCTGCTCCCCTGGGCACTGCTTCCACCTGGGTGCTGGCTGGCAAAGCTCAGGAGAACCTTTGAAATGCCTTTGGTGTTTAAACACAGCACAGAATTGAGAGGAAGGGTGTGTTTCTCCATTGCTTGCTGGGATGGTGGGGCTGAAGTACTAACTGCTGCCAGAAGTGGTGTAAAACAGGTCAGAGAACATGGTCCTGGAGTCTTGGGCAAAGGGCTTGAGGGGCTGTGCTCAGCCTGGGCTTCCCAGAAGAAAGGTGCCAGGCATCTTTCATGGGGTTTTTTTACAACTAGCAGGGCATAATATGGTAACAGGGCTTTTCCTTTGCTTCATCCCTGCTATGAATAAAGTCATCACATGTCCTCACCACAAGCTGGTGAGTATAAGCAAAAGCCAAGCCCAATACCCGTGGGACTTTTCCACTCCTGGCCTACTCTTCCCACCCCATATCTTTC